TGGTTTATTTTAAAATTAAAATAGGATGATGTATTGGGTTTCACAATAATAATAATTATTGGTTAGCGTAATTTACGATTATACAAAGCAATCAGAACATTTTCTGAAATTCATTAATTAACTATTTATTGATCTCAAAACTCTGCAGATAATGAGGTAGTCAAGAATAAATAGGAGTTTATTTTATTCAGTTAGCTATCCAGATTGAGAATGAACCTTGTAAACGATGCCAATAATAACTTATTGATTTTCTGTTTTAATTAAAACACTGGGTTATTGTTTTAGCACCCTGTTCTTTGTGTTTTAAAATTTAACCGTTACTAAGGAATGATGGCTTAGCGGTTCAAACACTAGACATATAAACATTAACTTACTCCTTCGAACTTGTACATATTTTCTTCAGTTTAGACAGCCGTTAAACTTGTGTGAATAGCCTATATGCACAAAACCTATGACTGAAAATCGGATGCATCTTTATCGATTAAGTTGCCGAGTTGCATAAATCTGCATATAAAGCTAGGTTTACATCATTTAAAGCTGGAAATAGTAGAGAGAAAGTAATCTATCTCAAATGAAAATACAATGTGATCCACCCATTGCTGTTTATATACAAGAACATATTATGTAGAATGAGCTATAACTTAATAGTTGAAGGGTTAGACTTTCAGCCAATAAATCTCAAGTTTGTTCCACTTACTTCACTTTAGGTAGCCGGGTAGTATCATAAGTCGTACACCTAAACTGAAGCTCATATGCGAACATTTGGTAGATGAGTTAATATTATTATTATTATTATCATTAATATTATAGATAAAATGGTCATTTATTCAGGGAAAGTATGAATGTACTCTCTCACAATCTTCTCTTTTAAAACAAATTTATAGAAGATGAAATAAAAGGCTGTTATTTCACTAATCTGTCAATTTTTCGTTAATGCTTCTCTTCGAAACTTAATAATTTTAATAATTATACTTTCATCATTCACTATATTTATTCATCAGCTAGCTAGTTAGTTAAATAACATCTATTATAAAATAATTGACATAGTTATGCATTTGTAATCATGTTATACGGTATTAAAATGTTTCAAAAAAAGTGAGTGTGATCTTCACAAAATTTGTATTTTCTTGTCTATCATTTAAATGACGATTTATGTATATATAGAGATTAATTACACTACTTAAGCGATATCTTAAATATTGTACTGTTTATGAACCAATCAAATCAATAAATGCGGGTTACACACATCTGATTATTGAATTTAATGATTACAATCATTAGAATATGATGCAATCATTCCATTTACATAATAAATTGTCAGCATGATTTTCGTAAATTAAGTAACAACTTTCGATCCATATTTGTGATAAAGTTGATAAGTAACATTTGTCTTATGAGTACAAAGTATTCTAATTGACTGTTTAGTATTGGTTTATATTATACCCTGACGGAATTATAGAAATTTAGTTGCAATGTACCCACTAGTTTAAATGACCTGCTGTCACGGTATACAGAAGGGATTGATTGGAACATAGTTTTACTAGTGTAATCTATAATCTGCAAACTTCCGTCTATTTAAAATTGATGTTCATATCTCTATTTGTTTATTGATCAGTCGATGTTAGAGTTTCGATCTTGAAGATATTGGAAAAGGTGAATATAATTTATAACACTATGCGAAAATTCATTTGGCTTTAATGGCCTGATAAAAATACTTAACTTATTTCACAAAATTATTATTATTGTTATATCCTAGTGAAGATTGAATTACGGGTAACTCCCGAGGACTATTAATAAACTAATATTATTTATATATTCTTATGGTATAAATATTCAGTAACTAGATTATGTATATCTATATTCCCCTTGTTATAAGCTTTGTTTTGACCTATAATTTATTGTACGATTTACTGTTCCTAAGCTATGTTCAGTCTATTAACTACTGCCTCCCACGTTCACAGCCACTTTTTGGCTTTATTGTGTACAAATGTTATTCCCTATTTTATGGTGCCTTTCGGTATGTTTGTTTGATATATAAATCCACTATGTCTGAAATAAAAGATTCGTTTCGATTCGCATATTGGAAGCTGGTATTGGTGTTCTGGACTCAAGTGGACGGGCTAGGCGAACATGGGACCAATAAGGACGCTAGGCTGCTCATACCGGTCGAACGTCATTGGTTTGGCACAGTGCTAAGATTGTATAAGTCGTATTTTGATTGGTGGATAAATCACGTGATAACTAGACGGACGTAAGGTCACAACGATTATCATCAGCATAATGAATGGTAACTCCAATTAATTCAAAGGTAACAAAGATTGAGTATAAACACAAATCAGTTACAATTACATTTTTGTAATTCGAAATTTTTGTGAAGACACGGTAGTTAAGTCTAGTAAGAAATATTCCAGATTACACTGACAGATTATAGGATCTCGTAAAATCAAACAATTTCATATGCTAAGACATTCAAGTGTCTAAGAATAAATATAACTAGAAAAAAATGTTTTCATTCAAATTGATGTAAAAGTTACGTAAACTAGTAATCAATCGTTTACCAGGAGTTTTTTATTTATTAACAAACAATGCTGTGCAAAATCATAAAATATGTTATTAGCTGAAATGTTCAGAAAATGCTTTGACAGAATGTTGTTCTATCTTTGGAAAGAAATCTCCCAACGAACCGTTATTGCTTATTTCGTAGGTTGCTAACGTTTATTGTACTCTAACTGGGTTTTGAAAGTTTTATATTGCAATTTCTATTGTTATGAGTTCATCTACTCAAAAAATTAAAAAAAGTAGAAGAAATACCTATCTGATATTTTCTGTTTTTAATGGTTTCTTATCTGACATAAATATCTTATGTTATAATTATTTCTAATTTATACAAAATCTCTATGTAGTCACCTAGATAAATACATTTGTTCCAATGAGATGATAAAATAAAGACAGCTAATTATTAAAAAAAGTGAATTGTTGAATACAGTGTATTGTTGAATAATTGGTGAATGATATTAAGTAGTTTTAATCAATAATATACCTTTAGACTTTTGGTTTATAATTGGTCTTATAACAGCAGACTATATAGATGTTTATCACAAATAGTTAGATAAACTTAATTAGTATTGATTACTTGGATCTTCCCATTGATTTTTTGGACTTTAATTGATCAGTCTCTTATAAGCAATACGCACAGTATGCACATATGCCAATAAGAGACTGATTAATTGCTGTCCTAAACATCAATGGGAAAATTTAAGTAAACAATACCAAGTGAATTTAAACTTCACCACATTGCATGAGCAAGTGACTATCAGGACTCAGTAGCTAGATGGATAACGCGATTGTGTTTGAAGCGAACGGTATTGGTTTCGAGTCCCAGAGTGAACATCAACTCTGAAATGCAGGTGCATCCCTCTGACGAGTCTCAAATAGGAAGAAACGAATGTCCTGTATTTCATTGTTAGCTGCTATCCATCTTTGCTTAGTATGATATGCTATTTTAAGCTTTGTTAAACATAATTAAAGAACATTTATATAGTGTACCTAAATCTATTTTTTCTAAAAATACTTGTTATGGAAATGTCAAACACATAATAGAATAAAAAAGCGATCATAAGATTATGAAGCCGCGTTTCTCACTTGTAAAAACTAACAATTAATATTTCATGTCAAATTCAATTGTGTCAGCTCTTTTATACAAATGTCGGACCTTTATTTTGACTACAAAACATATCAGCCGGCTAAATATTCCAGCAATTATATATATATATATATATATATATATATATATATATATATATATATATATGTCAAATTTTTCTTTATTTGCCTCGATTAGTTTTTGTTTTACAATAATCATTAATGCATTCTAATTCCATCTGATTGCTAAATCTGGTTCAATTTGTTTATCATAGAAGTAACACTAAATGTTAACTAATATATTACAAGAATAAGATCCTTTTTTTAAAAATAATCATCAAATAAAATCACCACAAAATTAATTATAGCGTGACAAATATCTCATTTAAAACATACCTATAAACCATCATCATTATGAATTATTTCTTTTTATTTGACTTTGCCAATCTATCACCATAGAAACGTTTTATTAAATGTACACAATATTTATTCATTTGTTACAATAATTTTCTGTTTATTATTTCAATTCTATCTTTTGAAAAATCAGTGCGTATTTCTTGGCTGTCAGTTTAATATCATTAAGTTGATATCTACTATTGTGATTAGTACCTTGTTCAATGTTGAATCATTCTATATTTTTAAGTAATATGTTTGATATAATTTATTGGTTTGTTGTATCCTTCCGTAATATATCATAGCCTGATTAGTTCGCTGAGATAATAAACCTTTAATTGATGTAGCATGAGTCCGAAATTAGCTCTCTCATTGTCATATGATAGATATGCACACTCATAGTTAAGTAGATGGTTGTGTATATTGGTTGCTATTTTTATTATTTTTATTGTAATCATTAGTAATCTGAATAGAGTAACCATTCAGAGAATCGGTATCCTTTTGATTAGTCAGGATAATCCTTACTTATTTTCACAATCAATGACAATTACTCAGAGATTCTCAAATTTCACTGTATTATCTAAGTAAAACTATGTTGTTTCTATGTATACGTTTTACTGAATGCGGAAGAGTGAAAAAGGGGAGAGTTCTCCATGAAATGGGAAACACCCATTCCAGTACACGTAAGCTATAGATATAATATTGTTGATTATTAGACTCACTTAACTAAACGAATTGTACAGTAGAATTTTAAGTATTATAATCCTTACCGTAGACTGTTTAACATAATAATGGAGATATAGTTTCATACGCTAACGATTTTTGTGTAGCGAATATTACCCATGCTTGTCTAGCAGATAATTTTCTAAGATACGAGAAACAATGTTTTCGGTGTTTTTTTTATCAATCACCTGTCTCTGTTATCCAGAATCTACATTAAACTTCATATTCATTAATTATAATAGGGTTTGGAAAAAGCGACAAATCCCAACCCTGGAAATTTCAACCATCCTAAAACTCCAGACAGATCGTCTACACATGCTCATGTCAATCAAATTTTCATTAATCAACCTCCAAGTCCCAGTCTCCCAACATCATCAATAACCACATCTCAATCGCATTTGCACTCACCATCAACAGCATATTGGCCAGGAAATTCGCTCAGTCCATCATCACCTAATCATAGTTTACACGCTTCACAAAAAACAAATTATCCGCCCTCATCATCTTCAGTAAATGATAATAGTAATAACTTTAATGCAAACAATTTGTTATCATATGCTACAAAACCCCCTGCTTCTAATTGTTCATCGACACGTCTGTTAAATGGAAGTAATGGCAAAACTCAACTACCAGTTCACAAACAGATATCCACTAAATCATCCAATCACGTGTCTTTCAACCTACACAATTCTCAAGGTGAGTTTTTTGTTCTAAAATAAGCAATACAATATTTTCTACCAGTTACTGTATCACATGTGTCCTTTTTTGCATATCGATGTTAATTATTATAAAGAAAATGAGTTTTTATTATTTAATTGACTACTAACCGTCAGTTGCTTTGATAATACTGGCTGAACATGCCTATTATATTTTGAAGTTGATTTTGCTTTATTTATCAAATTGGTGTTACGTGTTCTAGCTTCACACATGTATAATTAGGCCGAGGTTATCTGCAGTGCCTTAAGTATTCAACAAGTTCATCAAGTCAAGGACTTACGACAGCTTTTCTAATCGTTGGGTGAGTTAGTGACGTATATTAGAGTGTAATTTCTTACTTCAAGAGTCTGGAGTTATTCACAATTGTCTACTATGAACACATTCGGAGGAAGACCAAAGATACGAAACTTAGAACGTTTATCTATTCAAATATAAAGGAAACTAATTTGAACAATATATCATAATTTATATCTAATTAAATACAACGCACAAGTATATGGTTTTGTTATATTTTTTATGTAATACATTTGATAAGTGATCATATATACTTCTCCATTTTGTCTTTTCAAACCACATTCTTAATGTGTAATTCTTTTCAATATCATCATAATTACATACTGTTTTGATCTCTTTTGTAATTACTCTCCTCATGTTAATCTCGTTTCTAAAACGTTATTAACAGATATCTAAAGAAAATGACAGAAAAACTACTGATCATTATCTGAAGAGTGAATCAATAGGTTTACAATCGTCTAGTTAGGAACAATATACTAATCAATTTCATAGACATTGCTTATGGTTAGATAGGCATTAGTGTAGATTTGATTCGATTCGATTATTAAATGTCATATATATATGATTTGATAAAGCATTTATAAATAATTTATTTTAGAAAGTTAAAATTATGGCACAAAATAGTTCTTCTAATCAAATATTTTTGAACATAAGTTATCAGAAATCTGATTTTCGAGTATTCAAGATCCGTATAGTTTTGTGTGGTGTCAGCACTTCTCAAGTTTTCAGTATCTATAAACCATTTCTCCTTCCACATGTTTGTGTATCTCTTTTCTATTAGTTGAGTTCATGAGTCTATTGAAGTTAGACCACCACTGAAAACCTGGAAGCCTTGAGTAGACTTTTCTCCATAGTGGCTACTTTCAAAATGGATTTTCTGGAGAAGCAGTGACCAATGTAGTCCAATCCAGGTCGGGTATGTAACAGTTATCCACTTCAGACAGCGGATGGAGGTTTGCGTAAGATCGTGGATCGATTTAAGTTAGACATTAGCACCGTTTGATGCCAGCTCGGTAGTCTAGAGTTTAAGAGTTCGCATGTGAGACCAAAGGTCACTGGTTCGAGTCCCGTGTGTGGTGTCGTGGATGCACACTGCTGAGGACTCTCATATTAGGATGAGACGGCCGTTCAATTTACCTAGGTTTCCAGTGGTTATCTAGCTGAACTCGATTCATGAATTTAACTATTAAAATTACTACTTTCTCCATAAATCCCCATCCTGATAATATCTCTTTTTTAACGTGATCAGTTTGTTAGTATTATTAATTTTGCGATGTGTAAACATATAGTCCGAATAAACATTAACACGTGTAGAATTTATATCAACAATTTATAGTCAATTTCATACCTGTTCAACTTAATCTTTTATAGTGGGTAAACGGATATTACAAATCGATTGTTTACAATGTATCTTGTGATACTTGTAGAAAGATAATATTATTGTTATGATTATTTTTCCCTTTAAAAGTGTCATAATAATTTCAGATCATGCTGTTTCAAAAGGATACAATAATATATATATATATATATATATATATATATATCGAGGCATTCCGTACGGGATGCACATATGCCAACAAGAAAGTGATCAATCGCAGTCTTAAATAACAATGGGAGGATACAAGTAAAACAACATCAAGTATATATATATATATATATATATATATATATATATATATATATATCCAGCTGAGTGTATAAAACTTAAGTTATTGTTATCTAGCTGCACAGTTTTCAATAATAAGAGCGTTTCTGTCTTTCATATTGCCTGTATTCTAAAAATTTTTCAAAAACCCTAATTATAAATAAATATCTCATTGTGAATTGTTCAAAATATATTAAATAATATTCTTTGGGATTAGTCATTCCATAGGTTTTAATTTTAAGGCTTTCACAGTAGTAACACACTGATCTATTTTGACCGAAATTAAAAAGAATTAAGATCGTTTCTTTAGAGTAGTGAGTTTGTGAATGTCAGTCATTCAGATGTAAAATCTCACCTCCAACTGACACCAATCATAAAGCCAATGAAAACTAAAAAGATCTTCTATTCTAGCTTTAAGCTACTCTGTGATAAACTTTACTTCTTATCCTGCAATGTATTTGCATTTGATGAACAACATTGTTTTTCGATTCCTTCCCCAGTCATCATTCTCTTTTCCATCTACTTTTACGGTGAGAAGTGAATATTTTTGCAGCTCTACTTATGATAAAGGATCAATTTAAGCCTAAATTCAATAGCCAGTTAGTATATTATACTAACCTTAGGTTCAGAAGTGGACGTATGCAAATTTAGACGAGTGATCAGAAAGTGTTTAGCATTTTCCTTGATCGACTTATTTTCTATATTTGATGTGAAACGTGATTGATCTCCTGAGTACATGTTCAACCGACAGTTGTAAAAAACAGTTAGGATTTCAGTAGATAATTCTTAAGAATTTCAAACTACTAAATAGTATCCTTTTGGTAAGCACTATTTTAAAACAAAATATTTACACTTTGTACACTTGTGAAAACTATTCTTAATTAGTAAAATCTATCTCATTGACTCAGGTATAAAACATATAGTATAGTTGAGACGGAAACTAACAAACCATTGAGTTAATACAGTATACCGGAATCACTATTAAACTAATTAGCTGTATAGCACTTTATGCTTTATTAGGTATAAAAACTCACGAATCTTATTTAAGTTTTCAACTTGATAACATTCACTACCAACGTTTATATTTAAAAAATTTGTAAACAGATCATTGTGAATGTTATATTTGACTAGTTCTAAAATACTACCTCATTTTTCTCGTAAACTGTATTAAACATTCAACTATGATGTAATAATAAGCCAAACAATTATCTGATAAGTTAACAAGAAAATATAATCTACAAACTGAGTTTTTTTTACCTTCACTTGGTGTTGTTTTTAGTTGTATCTTCCCATTGTTATTCAGGACTGCAATTGATCAGTCTCATGTGGGTACATCCAGCTGACGAGTCCCAAATAGGACGAAACGCGCGTCTTCGATTCCACTGTTAGCCAATATTAATCTTTCAGTTTTTCACCTTTTTGAAAAAAATATTTATGTTGCTTACTCTTTTTTGGTCATTTTTTTCTTAATTTTGTTATTAATCCATTTGTTTAAAATTTTACTTGAAAGAAAAAAATATTACGAACCGTTGCCTAGACAATTTTAAATAAAATGGAAACAATTCAAATTTATTGATTTTATTTTTGATAAAACTTTAATTATCAGGAAAATTAACACAACTAACAGTTTGATTGATTCTTTATGTCTATCATATAATTCCGTAGATCTACCTATTGTCTGGATTTTCTATTAAGTCGAATATCAAACTAAACATTGTATCAAGTAGGAAACATTTTGTTTTAAAAAAAAAGGATTCTTAAGTGATTTTATTATTTGTGTTTTTGTTTAAATGAATTGTGAACATTTAAAATAAAAAGTAAGAAAATGACCTGTCTGTACATAATAACTTTTGTTAGGATTAACAGAAATGTGGATAATGACTAGGTCTTTCATTTCATTTGTAAAGTCAATCCATAGATAATTTATAACTCACCAACTTAAGTTATGTCTTGTTTCAAGTTTTCATTCGAATTCGAACCGATTAAATGTTATACTTTGAAGTGAATGAAAAAACTGAATTATTCATAAATTAACTATTTTTTGAAAAAAATTATATCCACTGTCAACGTAATGGAAATCATACGGATTTTGTGCGAAAGTCTGTTTAATTTATCAAGTGGCTCAGTTTAGGTAACCGTTATAACTGTTGACCTGTGTGCCCTGTTAATGAATAAGTAATGATACCACCAATTAGGGAGCAGTGACTTATCGATCGAATCAATGATGCGTAAGACCCGTACGAGCAGCCTAGAGTCCTGATTGGTTCTGCTTTCCGCTTAGACCAGCCAGTTGAGTCCAGAACATCAATCTCAACCTCTGCAATATTATTCATGTATTTTAAACATACTCGGTTTATATACCAATCAAATAGACCACTACGTACCATAAAATGTAAAATAACATTTGTACAAAATCTGGCCAAATGTGGCTGTGAATGTGGGAGGCAGTGAATAATAGACAGGGCATAATTCAAGAACGGTAAAACGTATAATAGGTCAAAATAAAGCTTATAATAAGAGGAATATGAATAGTTTAGTTATTTAACAATTATACGATAAAAATATACGTTTATTATTGGTCCATAAATGGATCCCAAAAGTTATCATTTATTATGCTTATCGGGACCTAACGGTAACGCAATACAAAATGCTATCCTTCTAAACTATTAACATTTCCATTCTAATCTTAGTTTCAATAATGCCATCCTAGAAGTGTATCATATGACGAATATCTTAGAAACTCTTCAATAGTTGTAGACATCTTACTACATAGTTTGTTTCAAAACCTCAGTTTACTCCTTTCTTTAAACACCCAGAATAATTTATAGTAATCTCTATGTATGATAACTAAGCTCTAGTATTTACAAATTTCATCAGTTAGGAGTGTGTAAATTTACCTTGCATTTGATATTCTGTATAAGATTAGTGGGCAATTTTCACCATAAAACTCATATTGGTTTTATTAAAATCCGAGTTGGAAAAATTAACTTTCTTAAATATCTCATTTTCTCATTACGAAACTATCCCACCAAAAACTATA